CTAGATAGACCTAGACCAGTGCAGTGAGCAGCTATTACATCAAACCCAGATAAAAAAATTTTAGAGAGAGGAAGATAACATGAAAGCAAAATTAATATCAAAATTATTAAACTTACTTTTTGTTTTTTACTTTCAAAATATTAAAAATAAAATCTGCTTATTAAACATCATTTTACTTTCTATTTCATCTAAAAAAAGTAAAGTCATGATTTTACTTTTGAATAAAGTAAAAGTAAGAAAGTGAAAGCGTTAGTAAATGACTCCTAGTCTCCCTACTTATTTATTATCTCTTTTTCAGATTCCTTCTTCTGTGGTTGAGAGGATTGACAAGTTGCAGCAAAGCTTTCTATGGGGAGGGAAGTAGGAGAGTTTAAATATCATTTGGTCAATTGGGAGCGGGTTTGTAGTCCAATTCAAAAGGGTGGGTTGGGGTATCAGAAGACTGGTGCCTTTCAATAAGGCTATCTTAGGGAAGTGGCTTTGGAGTTTTGGGGTGGAGAGACATACACTATGGAGGAGGGTGATTGCGAGTAGATTTGGGGAGGATTTTGGTGGATGGTATTCTCTTGAGGTGAGAATCTTAGGTGGTGTTGGGGTTTGGAAATTGATCCGGATGGGTTGGGATGATTTTTCTAAACACATCAGGTTTCAAGTTAGGGATGGTGGCAGGCTTCATTTTTGGGAGGATATTTGGTGTGGTGAGTGTCCTCTTACCCTCTCCTTTCCCAGAATTGCCACGGATATACACGCCTTGGTGTTTAACTGCTATCACCTTGATAATAGGAGAACATCCTGGGATGTGCGTTTTTTGGGGAACTTTTAGGATTGGGAGATTGAGGCGGCTATTGTGTGGTGACCTTGTGGGCGGGTGTGTGTGAGTTGTGCAGGTGGCACCAGTAGGCTACCACACTGGGTGAGCTACAGGTGCACAATCCCACATCGCCTGGGTGTGGATGGGGCAAGTACTATATGTAGATTCAATATCCTTTTATGACACAACACGTTTTAAAGCTGTGATGGCTGTGAACCCACCAGAACTCCGGAGTTAAGCGTGCTTAACCTGGAGTAGTACCAGGATGGGTGACCCTTGGGAAGTCTCTGGTCCGGGAGATCCAAAAGCGGACAATATTGTGTTTGGCTAGAGCGAGGGTCGTTATAAATGGTATTAGAGCCTAACCCAGCCGAAAGTGTGGCCAACAGGGCTCTAAAGGGGGGAAAGGGGGGGGGGGGGGGGGGTGATTGTGGCGACCTTGTCGGCGGGTGTGTGTGAGCGTGTGCAGGTGGCACCAGTAGGCTACCACACTGAACGAGCTACAGGTGCACAATCCCACATCGCCTGGGTGTGGATGGAGCAAGTGCTATATGTAGATTCAACACTCTTTTATGACATAACGCGTTTTAAAGCCGTGATGGCTGTGAACCTACCAGAACTCCGGAGTTAAGCGAGCTTAACCTGGAGTAGTATCGTAACCCCTTGGTTAGAATCCGGTCCGGGGGAGCCAAAAGCAGATAATATTGTGTTTGGCTAGGGTGAGGGTCATTACACATTGGTTTTTTGGAGTTGTTATATCGCCAGGAGATTGTGGACGGAGTTCCTGATTTTGTGGTGTGGGTTCCATCTTCTCAGGGTCGTTTTGAGGTTCGGTCTTTCTTTAGGTGTTTTACGGAGGTTCCATGTAATGCTTTCGATTTTCCCCATTTTTTATTTTCTGGAATTTTTCCATTTTACGAGGGCATTTTCGTCTTTTCACGTTTTGCGTGCCGTACACACATTTTCTCTCTCTAATTCTCTCTCTCCCCGGCAGCTGTCTCTTCTCCTCTTTATTTTCTTATTTTCTTTTCTTTTTCTTAAGCTTTCAAGCTTCGATTTCTCTCCAACCTTTTGGAGTTTTTGGGTGCCGTTTGCGGCAAATCGAAGAGCTCGGCGAGATCTTTACATTGATGTAAGCAATTCATCACTTTGGCCAACCTAGGGATTTCGAAAATTTGGGCAATTTTTTGGGGGTTTTCTTATCTCTTGAGGTAGGGGTTTCTAATATACAATTTCTTGCACATTTGTGAGTTATTTCTTCATGAATTGTAGTTTAGCATGCTTAATTAATGATAATTTCTTGAAACATGATTTCTATGTTTGTGTTAAAATGTGTAAAGCTTTGTGTTACTTGTATGTTGTGTAAAAGATGTGGTTATATGTTATTTGGTATGTGATAATAAAGTATGTTATTTGATGTTAATTTCATGCCATTGTGATTTTATTGTTAAAGTATGTGATTCGGAAAGCATGAGGTCTATATATATTTTTTTATTGGAGCAAAATATGTATATTGTTGTCTTGAAGAACATGAATTTATCTATTTACCCAGTATCGAAACATATGAGACATCCATGCATGACATTGGGCATGAAAAAGGGAAATTTGATTTGAAAAGGAAAGAAAAGGTTTTTTGGGGAAAAATTTTGAAAAAGGGTTTTACGAAAAACCCGGTTGCCTAGGAGTTGCCTAGGGTCCGTGGCGTTAGTGTAACCTAGAGGGAATTAGGGAGATTTCCCTAGCGTTGTCGAGTTACCTGGGCCCCAAATGACGCCATGGAGTTACCATGGGTCAGGGACAGATAGCCAATCCTTCTCTCGTGCCGCCATGGGACGGGTTGCATTAACGGTTTGGATATGATGACGGAAAAATTTTTGGAAATGGAGAGTGACATTGCAGGACATTGCATCCCATTACATGGCATAGTTCATCCATTACTTGGATTATTGATGTGATGTTATGATTATTTTCTCCCCGGCATGGCATGATCCCGCCTTCTTTGTTTTTTCGTTCATTGTGTGGATTCACGGGGTCACAAGAGGTGTGTCTTAGGCACCACCTACTGAACAATTTGCTCACCCCTTTATATTAACATTTTTTAGTTCATGGAAAGGAGGTGGCGGATGACAATCCACTACAAGCATGAGGAGGATTGAACTTATCAAAAAAAAAAAAGCATAAGGAGGATTGAAGTGTGTTTTGTAAACATTTTGTAGACTTGAGCCATTTTTGTAAAGCATTATTTAGAAATGTATTAAGTTGCTTAGCATGGCCTTGTAACATAACTTTGAGCTTTGACTCTATCTTGTTGTAAATTTGGACTAATCGTAAAAACAATGTATAATTCTTATTGAATGAGAAAAATGATGTTGCTGTATCAAAATGTTGATGTTTCAAATCATGGAATGTAGAAAGTTACTTTTACAGTTTTATTAGAGCAGTTTTAGATCAATTTTGCAGTCCCTACCAAAGCTTTCTTCATTCTCACAATTGCAGTAGTTCAGTAGCAGGTTCCTAGCTCGCAGGGCCATTTCGGCAGACCGAAATGGGCATTTCGGCCGGCCGATCATTCCAGTAGCCTCATCTGATCTTTGGCCACAATTGGTCGACCGGTTGGTCCATTTCGGCCGACCGGAATAGGCATTTCGGCCGACTGAAATGCAGGGCTTCATTGTTCTTTTTCCACCATCTTTAGGGCTATTCTTTTACCTTGTAGCAGTTCTTTGGCTCCCGTGGTGAGTTGTAATTGTCCATAGAAGGTGTCGTGACATGTAGATTGATGACGGTGCCCTAAGGTGACCTCGGGTTCGAGTAAGGACCTAGTTAACGGTTCGGACCCACAGGTTTGGGTCGTTACATTCCAGGGGATGATGTTCTAAGGCTCCTCTCAAAGTGGCCTTTGGAGAGTTTTTTGACCTAGGATAATCTTATGAGGAGGGGACAGGTTGTGGTCAATTGTTGTTGCATGTGTTTGAGAATGAGGAAACAGTTAATCATCTTCTTTTGCATTGCCGAGTAGCTTGGGATTGTTGGGTTCTGATGTTGACTTTGTTCAGGGTTCAGTCGGTTATGCCCTAAGTCACATAAAGCAGAAGCGAGAGTGAGTGCGAACGCGGGAGCGCAAAAAGGGCAAAATCTAAGTCACATGGAGTGGGAGTGGGAGCGAGAGCATGCGCGGAGCGCGAGAGCGGGAGCAGCGCGGAGAATGAGAATAACACTCGTTTAGAAGAATTGTGTGACTTAGGTTATGCTCAAGTCTTCCAGAGGTTTGGTTGAGGCTTGGAGAGGTTGTATAGTGGGGGCCCAAACTCGTAACTTCTGGAGAGTCATGCCTTTATGAGTCTGGTGGTGCTTATGGCTTGAATGAAATAGGCGATCTTTTGAAGGAAAGGAGACCCCTATTGGCGCGCTGAAGTTCTCTATTATTAGTACTCTTTTTTGTTGGGTTCTGGGGAGAAATTGTAAATCCATGGATGAGATTGTTGAATTTGTGGACTTTTTGAGAGTTTAGAGGCCCTGTTAGGTCTTCTGTATTTTCTGAAGGATGTGTTCCTGTTTTGAACGCTTTTTAATACATATTTACTTATAACAAAAGTGTAAGAGAAACATATTTAGTGTTTTTAGTATGAGGATCCCAGTTATGTTAGCACTTAGAATTAACAAAAAAAGAAACTTGAAGTGCGTAGTGAATTGTAACTGTATGTCATAATAGACACACACTAACACACAATTATTCCAGGATTCTAGTCATGTTTATATCCTATATCTTTCGATCAGTATGTATTGTGTCACATCCCTGTGGCGGTGTCTGGACTTCATAGTTAACTATGAATTACCTTTATTCTGTTATTTTGTCGGTTTTTGTTTAGTAAGATTTTCACTCTATTCCATACAATAGACCTTGGATCATTTCTTATTCAATCTACAAAATATTAAGATTTCTCCTCATCAGGCGTCCTGGGATGTTGAATTTGATACTATATCAAAGGATATAGAGAATTGAAAATTTTAAGGAGAAATATGTCCCAGAAGATGACTTAGCCTTAAAACTTAGTCGCTAGTTGCTGATGGTTTTGTTTGTTGGTCACAGCAGCCTTTGACAATTATATTAATGTGGTGTTTCAAACGATGTTTGGACTTCGGAGCTAATGCCCAATTTTTTGTATACTGTATTCTGATTTGTTTTTAGGGTGGCGATGGTTTCTTTAACGAGATCCTCAATGGACTTCTCTCTTCAAGGCATAAAGCTCCCTACCCACCAGCCCCTACAGATTTAGGTCATCCTGTCGATAGTGACGGCAGTTCCTTGGTTCATGATGCAAATGAAACTGTTGCAGAGCCTTCTGTTCCTAATGAAGACCAGTCTCCTCTTATCCCAAATTCAAGACATAATGGATCACAATTCACAAATATCAGTATGTTCCATGGTATCTCCATACTAGGCATGCTTTATATTCGATTTGACAACTGTAGCCGATTCTGATATATTATGAATGTAAACAGGAACTGAAGATGGCTCTTCCCACACAGGTTAGTTTGTTTCATATATATATAAATAAGGTGATTACACCAATGACAAGTAAGTTTTTCTATTCCTACCCCGCACTTTTAACATCCTTTTTGACAGAAATAGCTGTATTGGTATTGCCTGATTTTTGTCTATTGGTGCTTTGACAACTCAGCAGATCAAGATCTTGAGTTTTCTCTCCCAAATGAACGATTTAGGTTTGGAATCATTCCTTCGGGTTCAACTGATGCCATTGTGATTTGGTATGTATTGCATTACCTTGAGCTATGTTGCTTATTTACGGCATGGTTATGTTATATCTCTTAGTTCATCTTAGTTGAATTTGGTTTATGCACTTCTTATGTGCATTTATTTTTTCATGGCCTATTGATAATAGCATTATATATACATCTGCTATTATAGATATTTTAGGAGGCATTCTTTCAAAGCTTAGATTTTTTATTAGTCTGTTGCCTCAGTTGTTGTATGTGGATGAATGGCTTGTGCCTTAAGGCTTGCCTTTTACCTGAGTCACACGGGAAATACATTCAGAAAATACTGTGCAGAATATTAGACACTTTTTACGGTTAATGTAAAACAGATGGGCGTTTGGTTCGCATTTGTATTTCTATGATGGGTGTTGAAACGATATAGAGTCATTAAAATCACAATCAATATTTTTTCTAATGGAATCATATATGTGGTGTGACATATAATTGTGCATAAAACTTTCTTATTATGTTCCTATCGTTACTTTATTGCTTAAAAAATGAGTGTAGGTTTCCATGTTTAGTACTATGTTACATATACAAACATTTCACTTATAAAAGAAAGAAGAATATTAAAAAATATGATTGCCTAATAACTAGCTGTAACATGTGCACTATGGTTTTAGGAATCTGTAAATCCAATGCTTAGACACATGTAAATGATTCCATATAATATAAATTGGCATCATAATTGTTCTGAGACCAGATGATATCATACAAAATCTTTTCCGTATTGTAAAATTTGTGTTGTATTTGCAATTTTATTGAAAATTTTAAATGAAATCCTGAAACACTAGATAGGTGATTGTAACTTTCTTGAGAAGTTGTATAGGATGTTGATATTTGATTGAAACACTGACAATGATTGCATTTATGGGAACCAAGAAATAACATCAACTGGACTGGTGCTAGAATGTAGATGCTGTTTACTTAAAGAGGACCATCAACTATTTTAATTGTTGACCACTTCTATTTTTCATTTAAAAAGTCATTTCAGTTGTATTTTAATGATTTTGAACAAAGAATTCGGTTGATTTGAAAGACTTACTCTCTGCCATGTATTCTTTTTGAGCTTTTGGAAGTGGGGGTTATATATTTCAACTTGGAGCTAAAAGTAACAGATTTCTTTGAAATTGTGTCTACCAATATATTGAAGTGAATGTCAAAATAATAGCTGAAATGAATTTGATAATAGAAACCCCCATTGTTTTGAGACTTTAAGGATTTCAAGGATCTGTATCATTGATACTTCTTGTGATTTAATTGTTTCCAGTAGAATTTGCATAAACACTGTTCAGGTTTATTTGGGTCTAAGAGTCTCCAAGGTGGTCCTAAATTGAGTATCCTGGACCATAGTACTGTGCAATTGTGCCACATGTGTCGGTATACATGATTACAGATATAAATCTATGTTTCACTATGATTGCAAGTCTAGTTTGGTTCTGTGGTTATTTTTTTATTATTTATTTTTTGTTGTCCGAGGAGGGTGCTGAATGATTCACCTTTTCTTGTCATTTGTGTTCGGAATAAGATTTCGTACATGATTTTTTTATGTCATGCACCAGTTACAAGACAAGTTCTTCATATAGTATCCTCTTCTTACACCAACCCCACACCCCCACCCCCCCCCCCCCCCCCCCCCCCCCCCCTCTCTCTCTCGCATGATGTTCTCTATGTTTCTTATTATATTATTGTTCTGTTGGTATTTTCTTGATACCTGTGCTGATGGGAAATTAAATGAGTCACCTTTTGCCACTCAACCTGAAAAAAGATATTTTCTGAAAGTTAAAACATTGTTAATTTTCTAAAATCATCCATGTAGGCATTAACTCTTGATCAAGCTTAAATCACTTTGCTTTCCCTTCTATATGCCCACCACATATGTTATCATCAAGAATTGGTTTCATATATAATAAGTTACATTGTATATTGTAATCAGTGCACTGCTGTTCTGTGATTTTCAATGTACAGGCCAGTGATATATTATTTTATGTCATAATCAATACACTGATATTATGTGATCTTCAATGTTTCTCTGTACGTCTTAACGAAACTTTGGTAGTTGACAATAGTAGTTTGCAGGGCTAAATTTTTGTGTCCATTGTAAGCTACTGTTTTAGCTGATAATATTCTGGTGGGAATGGAAATTATTGGCTCTCACTTTTGCAGTACCACCGGAACTCGAGATCCTATGACATCTGCATTGCATATTATCCTTGGTAAAAGGGTGTGCCTTGATATAGCTCAAGTTGTAAGATGGAAAACAACATCTACATCGAAGGTTGAACCTTGTGTGCGCTATGCAGCTTCTTTTGCTGGGTAGGTTCTCATTACTACTAGTTTGATACTGTACTGTATCTTAGCTAAATATTTTAGTTTATATTGCAATTTTTTTTTTTTTTTTTTTTGTGAGTTTATGTAGCATATGCATGTTTGTGCTTTGTTTGGGTCAGTTTTTGCCAATTGGGTTTCTCTAATTCTGGAGGATGTTTAACATCTGTACCAGGCAAACCATTGACATAAAAATATATGTTGGTTATGTGTGCTTGTGCTTGCATTTGCTGTTAATATATGACTAGCCAAATGCTGGTAGATGGATGGTCTTTATTCGAACACATGCTTTTCCTGTGAGATATTGTGTAGGTTCAGGATATAGTCATGGTCCATGGATTGTTTCTCTAGATTCTGTCGCGTACATAACTTAATAGTTTATAGTATATAATGTTGTAACAATTAACAAGGGGCACTGCATCTATGATATTACCCGTAGTGAATTATCTTTTAGCTGACACGACTGTCACATATGTGAGCCCCCATAATCACTTTCTAATCCCATTTTTTAACCAAATAACTGGAAGAAATAATTTATAAGGTAATGCATACACGAACACAAAACATAGTGAGAACTGGTATGAAGTGACTAGGCACTACTTACTAATTAGTCCTGTTTTGAGAGTCCTCATTATGTTCAAATCAGCCACAGGATCACTTTTTTGGATTGGCTGCATGATCTTCTTCCTTTCAATCTATGTTATTTTTAATAATCTGTCACTCTGAATTTTGTTATCTTTACTCACTGATTACATACATGGTTTTTAGTTCATCCTTTTGATGCTTTAGAACCTCTTTGTAAAGCATTAAGCTCCTCGTAGGTATGCTCTGGACATGACCGATCTATCTTAGTTGGCCTTTCTTTGTAACACTGAAAGATGTTACTTCATTGATTCCTTTTCCATAATCAATTTTAATTTGTATCCATCATCCTTTGACTTACTTGGCATTGATATGATTTTTTATTTGCTTTTTGATGTCCTCATGCTCTGTTCCGTGTGTCCTCATGCTCTTGGTCACTCTGCTTTGTAGATTTTTCTTGTTAATTTGTTTGTTATACATTTTTCATACAGAACTCCATACCACAGTTTCTCATCTGACTTTTAGGCATCTTCTTTTCAAATTCCATGTACCCGTATACAAAGAACCAACATAATGAAAATTTCAAAACAATGATGGCATATGTTGATCATTTTTTATTTCCTAGTTCATATGTTGATCATTTATGTTAACCACAATTCTTTCTTCAATCATTTTCTTACTAATGCATTGCTTTACTAAGGGTTCTTTTAAGATTTTGAATTCTTCTTTGCACATTCTGTTTTTTTGAATTTCTTTTATGGTCCTTCACAATAGTCTTTTCATTAAATCCAGATCTTTTGGAAAAAGTGCACATTAGGACTTCTCTATGACCAGTAAATTCATAGATAAATCAAAGAACATAATATTGGAAGATATATATTATTTTCCTTGATTTTAGAGATTTGATTGATTTCTGACTAATATAAATTAGAAAAAGATTGTAGGACAGATTGATTGCAGTAAAATAGGATAGATTGATTGCTTTAAATTAGGAACAGATTTGTAGGAAATTTTTTTAATCTTTTCCTTGTATAGCTTTCCTTCTTTCCTATATATACTTGTACAAGATGTTAATATATGAGGCAGAATATTTTTTAGAGAGAATTTCTACTTGGTATCAGAGCAATAGTGTGAGAAAGAGAGAAAAGTTTCACGGGTCTGAGCAAATACTGCCGACCTATTCTCTTTGTCCTCCTATTCTTGTTCTCTTGCTGTGCAATTGTCTTGGACAACACCCTAAAGCCTTGATTCTAAACACGATAGACATCAAAACATGTCTGTCGTTACCTCTAAATCTTCTGATTCTAGTACAACACCACCCATTCCTTCGATTGTGACAAATCAACTTGATAACATGAGTGTGCAGATGACTTCTTACAAAAAGCAAATCAAATAGTTGGCAGGTCAACATCAGAAGAGCAGATTTGGCTTGGCACAAAAGATTAGGACACCCCTCATTTAGCTATTTGAATAAGTTGTTTCCATCTTTAGTCTTCAGAATTGATGTTTCTAATTTTCATTGTGATAGTTATGCGTTAGCCAAACACCGTCACACTTCTTTTCCTTCAAGTTTTAATAAAAATTATGTGCCTTTCTCAATTGTTCACAATGATGTGTGGGGGCCATCCTGTGTTCCTAATCATTTAGACTCTAAATGGTTTGTTTCGTTTATTGATGATTGCACTTGTGTTTCATGGATCTATTTGTTGAAAGAAAAAAGTGATGTTTTTTCCACCTTCCAATCCTTTCACCAAATGGTTTTGACCCATATTAACACAAGAGTACAGGTTATACGATCAGATAATGGAGGGGAATATTTTAAGAGAGGGCTTAGTGTCTATTTTCAGGCTCATGGCATCATTCATCAAACTTCGTGTGTTGATACACCCCAGCAGAATGGAGTAGCAGAGTGTAAGAATCGCCATCTCTTAGAGATTGTTGGGTCATTACTCTTTGCTATGAACGTTCCTAAAACTTTCTTGGGAGATGCTGTTCTTACTGCAGCATATCTCATTAATAGAATGCCTTCAAAAGTCCTTCAGTTTCAAAAACCTCTTCAGACATAATCCAAAACACACGATATTCCAACTCTTCTTCACATTCCACCCAAAGTGTTTGGCTGTGTTTGTTATACTCATATCCACAAACAACACCGGAGTAAGCTGGATTCGAGAGCACTCAAACATATTTTCTTGGGGTATTCTGTCGCACAAAAGGGATACAAAAGAATATTTTACAAAAAAAAAAAATTGCTACAAATCTTCCTAATATAAAGCAATCAATCTATCTGTCCTACAATCTTGTTCTAATTTACAATAGTCAGAAATCAATCAAATCCCTAAAATCAAGGGAAATAATATATACGTAGTATCTTCCAACATTCCCCCCCCCCCACCCCCCCCCAAGCTGGAGCATAGATGTCTCGAATGCCCAGGTTGTCAAGTGCCAAACTGAAAGTTGTACTTGACACTCCCTTTGTCAAAAAATCTGCAAGCTGATGTTCTGTCTTTACAAACGGAGTGCAAATTAATCCACTTATCAACTTCTCCTTGATAAAGTGTCTATCCACTTCAACATCTTTAGTACGATCATGTTGAACTGGATTGTGAGCAATGCTAATGGCAGCTTTGTTATCACAGAAAAGCTTCATTAGATCCCTAGAATTAAAGCCCAGCTCCTTTAACAAAGCCTTCAGCCACAACATCTCGCATTACCATAAGCCACGACTCTAAATTCTGCTTCAGAACTGGATCAACAGATTGTTTCTTACTATGCCACATGGCTAGATTCCCTCCCACAAAGGTGCAGTATCCTGAAGTTGATCTTTTATCTATTACACATCCTACCCAATCAACATCTGTATATCCTTTCACTTTGAGATGACCATGGTTGGAGAATTGCAGACCATTCCCAGGAGTTGATTTTAAATATCTGAGAATCCTGTGTACAGCCAACATGTGTGTTTTGTAAGGAGCATGCATGAACCGACTTACTACACTCACCGCATAGGCTATGTCAGGGTGAGTATGTGCCAAATATATTAGCTTCCCAATCAACCTTTGGTATCTCTCCGGTGTATCATTTGTGCATTCACCTAACCTGTGATTTTGTTCAATTGGAGTATCAACAGGTTTGCAAGCCAACATTCCAGTCTAAGCCAATAAGTCTAGGACATATTTTCGTTGGGAAACAAAGATCCCCTTCTTTGACCTAGCAACTTCAATATCCAAAAAATATTGTAAAGACCCAAGGTCTTTGATCTCAAATTCTTTTGCCAGATATGCTTTCAGCTTATCCATCTCCTCACCATCACTACCAGTGACCACAATATCATCCACGTACACGATTAAGGCAGTAATCTTACCTCCAAATGAAAGTTTGAGAAAGAGAGTGCGATCCGACTGGCTTTGGTGGTATCCATATTTCTTCATGGCTTGAGTAAACTTGCCAAACCAAGTTCTAGGTGACTGCTTGAGTTCATACAAGGATTTTCTCAGTCTGCATACCTTACCTCTTTTAGAGGAATTAACAAAGCCTGGAGGAACTTCATGTATGCTCTTCTTCCTCTAGATCGCCGTGAAGAAATGCATTCTTCACATCAAACTGCTGAAGAGGCCACTCTAAAATTGCAGCCAAGGATAGGACCCTTATTGTATTTATCTTCGCCATCGGTGCAAATGTTTCTTGATAATCTATTCCATAGGTTTGGGTATAACCTTTAGCTACCAATCTTGCTTTGAACCTCTCCACTGAATCATCTACCTTATGCTTCACTGTGAATACCCATTTGGGATCGTCTTCTTTCCCTTTGGTAGCTCAACAAGTTCCCATGTAGAATTTTTCTGTAAAAGCTTCCATTTCTTCAATCATGGCAGCTTTCCACTTGGGGTTGTCAAGAGCTTCCTGTAACTTATTAGGGACAGACACGGATGATAACTGGTTTGCAAATATTTTATAAGATGAAGATAAACAATGTGAAGAAGGAACATTAGCTTGCAGATTTTTTGACAAATGGAGTGTCAAGTACGACTTTCAATTTGGCACTTGACATGCTAGGCATTCGAGACATCTATGCTCCAGCTTGAGGGGGAGTGTTTTAAGATATATATTATTTCCCTTGATTTTAGGGATTTGATTGATTTCTGACTATTATAAATTAGTACAAGATTGTAGGACAGATTGATTGTAGTAAAATAGGATAGATTGATTGCTTTAAATTAGGAACAGATTTGTAGGAATATTTTTTATTCTTTTCCTTGTATAGCTTTCCCTCTTTCCTATATATATACTTGTACAAGATGTTAATGTTAATATCTGTGGCAGAATATTTTATAGAGAGAATTTCTACACATAAGTGCAAAACAACAACAAAAAGGTTCATGAACTTATTGCGGAAAGCAGATTGAGTTGCCTCTTCAAAATATATTGCAACAGTACTGCTCGTTCTTGCATGTCCTTGATGATGATTGTTTGTCTAGGTGTAACTCATTTTATCCCTACTAATGGCCGCATCTTCTCTTGGATGCTTTATCATGTGCTCTCTTCAAGTTAATGACTGTGATTCTGTGAAGACTTGGTTTTTATCTCCCTACAATTTTTCGTCAATTGTCTTTGTGGGAAAGCAGCTTTGGTTGGTTGAACTTTGGTGTATGAAACTTATTTAATTTGCTGACGCCTTTATTAGTTTATTGCTCACTGATTACCTCATCTCTGAAGTTCATAATATTACTGAATACTTCTTCCCAGGACTTCATAGATGACTGTAGATTTTGATCTCCTGACTCTGCTACTTGTTTGCCTTCCTCTACTTATGTTAATAAATGTCGTTTATTTCCTATCTCCCCCTCATGTGTTAGTCTCTTTAACTATTTATTTTGTAGAAAATTTGGAGATTCTGTCTTTATCATGAGAAAACTCTAGTGCTTCTGCTTCCTTAGTTCTTTGTGGGTTCATTTTTTCTAATCATAATTTTATGTTACATCCTAAGAATAAACTAACATTTTGATAGATAATTACATTTAGTGAAGATGATCAAGAATAGTGGTAGTATAAAGATTTTTTGTATGCCTTATTTATTAAACATTATTTTAGAATTTTCTTCTTTTTATTAATCTCCTAAATTTGATCAGATATGGATTTTATGGAGACGTCATTACAGAGAGTGAAAGATACCGCTGGATGGGCCCCAAGCGATATGATTATGCAGGCACAAAGGTGTTCATGAAGCACAGGTATTTCTCCAAGTGCAACTGTAGTAACATGGTGTAAGAGCTATGAAAGTTGACCATTACTTTGTACCTCGTTCAAAATTTTCCAGACTTTCTGGATTGACTCAGAAACATGTAAGTTATTAGTATATGGGCTTTGCTTTGATGTTGTTGATAGAAATAACACAATTGGGTTGGAAGGAGATATGGAGCTACCTTTTCAATCACAAAATGCATTGGAGTTAATTCCATGCAATCAAGGTTTTTAATCTTTTGTTCTTTAAATTTCATAATTGGAAGCAATTTTATGCTTGCATGCTTAGTTCTGTGAATGAATTATAATATAATATAAGGCCCTTGGAAGAACTCAAATTATATTTTTCAACTTCAATATGTTTAACTGACCAATACCTTGCTGGAATCTTTATTTTTTTTTTAATTTTAATTTTAATTTTAATTTTTCCCCAAAGAAACTATGGATCATACCCTAGGCTCTGGTGTTAGAGTATGAACAAAACTGATCTAGACCTATAGGGGATGAATAAGTCTTGAAAAGTAAAGTAACGAACTTCAACAGAAATTCAAAATTAAACTACTAGTTTCTAAATTTCAACCTTTAATTAACTAGAAAGCATATAAAAAGCATTCATGTTGATATAAAACATGCAAGTAAACTAAATGATCCACACATTTACACATGATTTTTACATGAAAATCCCAAGGGAAAAAACCATCAGACCCCAGTACAGGCACATCAAATCCACTATTGAGAAAAAGTATTATACACTAGGTTAATCCAACTCTATGCCTAAGAACCCCCCAGTTACCTTCGACTCAGACATATGCTAGACGATCCTCTACTATTGTCAGTCAACAAATACCACTCCTCACGAAGCCGAGTACAATGATTTCCATGACCAGTTCGGTCCGTTCTTCGTGTTTGTTTTGTAGTTCCTTTTAATGTTGAAAATTCCTTGTAGCACTAGGATTCGTTTGATGAACAACTTTCAAACCATTCACTCGCCATCTAGATGATGATATATGTGAAAGAAACAAAATCTAGCAATCAAAATTGCCAGGATGCACTCAGTATGCTTGTTGTTCTCTTTTCCTTTGGTTTTTGTACGTTTTGGAATACATATGGTCTTTATATAGAGTTTAAAATCATAAAGGGATTAGGGTTGCAACAGTTTGAATTGAAAATTGAAATCTGTAGCTTTTGCTCGATTGAGACAAATTCAATTGATCGAAGTATGACTGGCCTTTTATGGATTCCTTGATCAATTGAAGAAGCCCTGTCTTGATAGTATTAGGATTTCTAGTGCAAAAACACTTCTATGCATTTTAAAATGGATTTTATATATCATAGCATATAAATTTAAAATCTAATATGTGTAATACATGAAGGCATATGAATCACGAACCCTAATGTTGGTGAGTGCATAATTATGAGTTACAATTATCTTTTTCCCCTTCTTGTGACTTGAATTTCACTTTTGCTTTTGGGGCAGAGGTAACTCAGCCAACTGAAATAACTTTTGAACAAACTAATCAAAAGGTGAAATACACATACAGACTTCAAGTTTGAACAATGTTTTCCAACAAGACTTTCTTAGGTTAATTGGACTTTTGTTGGCAAATTTCATTGAACAAAATTGGAGTATGTAACTTTTATTTTTATTTTTAGTTTCCATTCGAAATATTCACTAGTAAGTTAGTGTTATTTTACATAATTGCGTAGTCTTCTTTGACAACGGTAAAAAGGTAATTTAACACATTGATGCACTCACCAAATTAGGGATACCCAAAAAAAAAAAAACAAAGATAGAAAAAAAAAGAAAAGAAATGAGGGATCATGCATATATGTTAGGGTTTCTAATTTCTACATGATTTAATCTTATTTAATTTTCTAAATCTTTCAAAGCATGCATTGAAGTGTTTTTTGTAAACTTTTTGTTCTAGAAATTTTTTCAAGTATAAACACTATGTAGACTTCGATCGGTCGAGCATTTGATCGAGGATCACTGGAGTTGCGTTGATTAATCGATGTGTTTTTTGATCAATTGAATTGTGCGAAAAAGCAGTTTCCAATTTGGTTTGGAACACTACCAGCCCTATTCCCTCCATACTTATATTTTGCCTAAAATTAAATATATCATGGTAGGGCGGAATACAAATCAACTCATACATTCATAAAACTATTTTGTGAGTTAAGTTGCATCTTATTTTTATTTTTGTATTGATCATTATTAGAATTGGAGAATGTGATCTAGTGTGTTGTCATCTGTTGCTGTGTACAACAATCGAAGAGTTCAACACTATACGCAGTCCATCTCTCAGATTGAACTGAATGACTTGTGGCTGAGACTGAATCGATGGATGAGAAGTAGATTCATGAGTAGCGAAGTCTGTTGATGAGTGGATCATGTGCCTAGAACTCGAGGAGAGTTGGGTGGATCGATTTGTGTCAAGGAGGTAACTAGGGGTTTCTAGAGTTTGGTTGATTTGGTTTTCCTAGAGTAAGTCTTTTCACATGAACATCTCTGTGTCCATCTTTTCACTGCTTTAATTGTCTATGCATCCTTGGGTGATGAATTGAATAATTTTTACTTTTTTTTTTGGTTATGAATTGAATTTAGATATTTAGTTTAAGTTCAAATAATTGTTAAAATTCACTACCTAAACAACAAGACCTATTCACCCCCCAATGGGTCTAGATCACAGGCCTTGCACGATCACTATCAGTCTCTGTTTCCGGTCCGAACTCTCAGTCCCATTGACCTAAGATTTTCAAAACTGAAAGCATTCACTTCTGCTCTGTCAAATTCTTTTGGGCTTGGAATTTTTAATTAACTTGTTTCGGAGTTTATATCATGAAGACGGTGTCTGTGTTTGTTCGTCCTTATTTTTGTCGGAAATTCAGATTGGTTCTTCTTCTTCTGTTTTGGGCCACAAATTCAGATTGGTTCTTCTTGTTCTGTTTTGGGCCATTCTGGGTAAGAGCATATTCTGGGTAAGGCCATATTTTACATATTACCGTTGAATAGAGAGGCCATTTCCCTACCCTGACTCCTTATTACATGGTGCTAGACAGGGTAACTGTGTACGGACCTGTCCTTTGGTTTACTTTCATGAGATGGCCATCTCAAACTTGGAACTCTTGTATTCATGCTTATGGCTAGGGCTTTTACATTGCAACTAGCATCCCAAGCTTGATAGCCTGCATTTTTATATCCTGCGTCTCAATACTGTCTTATAATAATACACCCAGTAATTTTGTTTTTCATTTATTATGTCCATGTCATTTATTTCAGGTCATACGAGGCAGAAATAGCATACGTAGAACTTAAATCAGAAAAAACAAATTCAATTCCTGAGAGAGGTCCTCGCAATAGTAGAATACAAGGACTGTGGGGCCTATCTAAAAGATCTGACAGAGTAACTTGCCGTGTTAAGTGCAACGTTTGTGCTACAAAAAAAATTCCCGCATTGGCAGAACATCCCTACCCAACACCATATTTGCATCCTGAGGAATCAAGATGGTTGAGATCCAGAGGGCGTTTTCTTAGTGTTGGCGCTGCTGTAATCTCTTGTCGGAATGAAAGAGCACCTGATGGTTTAGTGGCTGATGCACACCTTTCAGATGGTTTCCTGCATCTTATTTTGATTAAAGACTGCCCTCGCGTGTTCTATTTGTGGTAATATAGAAGCATCTATATCTCTTCATATACGTGTGTGTGTGTGTGTGTGTGTGTGTCCACGCATCATACATTTGGTGAAAGATCATTTGAATGAGCTATAGCTTCCTCTCTCTAACTAATCAGAGATACTGGGCTGAGGCAACAAATTGTTGTTTGGCTAGAAGAACTGCATATTCCTTTGATCTTACCTAGCGTTTAACAAGGCACGTCTAAAACTTCTAATTTGTGTTCTGTTTTGTTATAACAAGGCACATGGCAAATGTCAAGTGGACCAGTTTCCACGTCCACTAGCTTGTTACCTGATAGAAGAATGCCTTCATTGAAAATCTTCTCAATTACTAATAGTCAGTTAAAATTTCTGTTTTAGTTGGTGAAGAATCCTTCATCATTGGACATAATGTGGTAGAAGTCGGTTGGGTTTGAAGTCATGGTTGCTTCAGTCTTTTTTGCATCTCTTTGGTCGAACCTATTAACGTTGGGTTCTTTTCTTCTACTACATTTTTAGTTCAATACACATAAGCTACTAATAAATATTCCATGCAAGCCTTATTTTTACGATTGACTGACTTGTACAGGCACCTTACACAGCTTGCAAGGAAGGGTGGAAACCCCCTGAATTTTGAGTTTGTGGAGCATCATAAAGTATGTTCCCCCACTTTTTTCGTTTTCACTTGTTATATAATTTTCGTACCTCTTGTGAGCTTTTCATGTCTCCTGCGCAGACTGTGGCTTTTACATTCACTTCTTTCGGGAAGGAGAGCGTCTGGAACTTGGATGGTGAGCTGTTCCCAGCACACCAACTCTCAGCTCAAGTATTTCGAGGCCTTGTTAGCTTATTTGCATCTGGCCCTGAAGTTTAGCAGAATACCTCGGAACCTGAGACCCTCTTTTTGTATCTTACATCTGCTCTAATTACAAAATCTTGTATTGTTAACCAAATCAGTTAGTGTAGTTTTGTGCAACCACATACCAGATGTTATTTGTATCATCTTCATCCACATTCCCCCTTCTTTTTGTTTTGTTTTGTTTTTTTTTTTTACATCTACATGTTGTATAAGATTTATCAGACTTGTAAGCATTGTTATTCGAAGCTCATTCCAAAGAATGATACCAACAACTTCCGATTAGCATGTCCGAATGTTTGATTCAATTGCATAGTAAACATGAATTTTCTTTAATATACAATCTATCTAGGGGTGGCAATTGGGTGGGTTTGGATGGATTTTGGACTGATCATGAATGAGACGGGTCAATGATGAGTAAATAACTCGTTATTAACTTATCAATGATCGGTCATAAATGGGTGCGTGTTAAATGAGCGAGTTAACTTGTACCTAATCTAATAACTCAAATATTCTTAGATACAAATTGTCAAATTAGTTTTAATTGTTGAATACAAAAAATATATATATATTTTTATATTAAATTTATTAATTTTTTGGACTCAAGCTTACAATTTTTTGTTTTTCCTTTTGTACAACTTACTTAGCTAGTAATATTAATTATATATATTTAGAAAAAAGAGCTTTGACTGGTACAAATAAGTTGGTCATTTATTTTCTTAATTTTTTATCCAGTAAAAAGCAAGTTGAAAGAAAAACAAAGACGGAGGAACAGTACAGCCGGTACAAATTTGTATTTGGTATAGTGCTTACAATTGTTTTTTTCTTCTTTTGTACAACTTACTTTGCTAGTAATATTAATTATATTTTTCAAATGTCCTCACTCGCTGCTGGTGTGAAAATTGATGCCGATCCATCTTGATTCGGTGAATTCGTGTATATGTTCCTTTTCTTCTCGATGAGTATGCCTTGAACTCTGTTCGGTAGGGAGGAAGAAAGAGGGATGGAAAGAAAATAGGAGAGAAGGAACAAAATTCCTTCGTTCGGTAGGAAGGAGACACGGAGAGAAAGGATAATAGGAGGGATGACTTATCAGTCTTTTTTTACAAATTTTTATCCGCCCAAATTTGGGTGGAAAACAAGAGAGAAAATAAGTAGAACTATTATAAAATTATTAAATTACAATATTATCCTTTCCAAATATTAAAAATTAAACCTTACACATCTCATCTCACGCAAAAAAATCCTATTAAGATATGATTCATGTGTTATATATATCAGGTCATGTAATCCTTGTTTGGTCGAGATCTGGATCTTATATATATATATATGGATTGTTTGTTATATAATTTTCTTATTAGTAAAAAAGAGGATTCAGAAGAAAAAATACAAAGTCTACATAAAGAACCATACAAAATCCATATTTAGAACGAATAAAAAAAAAAAAAATGCTTTATCTAGACTGTGTATTTTTTTTAGAACATATTTAGAACGAAAAAAAAAAAAAAAAAACTCCATGTTCACACCTAGTTCGAAATATAGTAGTTACTTCACTAGTATTGTCATATATTGTACGACTACAACTAGTGGTGCAAATAATTTTGAGTGTTCAGATCTCATGTTGTAATGGTAAAAATAATTTTAAATTCTCTCTTCTCTTCTCTCGCAACGAACAAAGGAATTTAGTAGGTTCTTCTCTTCTCTTCCATCCAACCGAACAAAATGAGAGAAGTCCATAATTTCTTCTCTAGGGATGTCTCATCCTTCCTTTCTTCTCTTCCTTCCATCCAATTTACTTCCTTCCTAACGAACGGATTATTAGGTTCTGGCTTTTTCAAGAAGGGTTTGACTCTTTTTATGGATTCTTTTGGCTGCTGGGCATTGTGGAAAACACGTAACAAGTTGGTGTTTGATTTTGTTTTATGGGACCTTTGGCTAGTAGCCTCCTTGGCTGTTGGTAGATATTGGGAGTTTGTTGATGCCTAGGTAACTTAATGCATGTTAAATGTGGGTGCTAAACGACGGGATTCCTCGATTTCGTGGTCTCCACCCCTTTTGAGTTGGATTAAAGGTAATGTTGATACATGTTTCTTCTCTTCAACTGGTATGGGAGGTGGGGGTGCCATTTTTTGAGACTCAAATGGGTCAAGCGTTAAGGCTGTTATCTTCAAGCAATTCCTGTCTTCCTTAGCTACTATTACTGAAGCCAATGCTCTTCGGATGGCAGTTATTTGGGCTAGTGTCTTTCGATTTCAAGAGGTGTGGTTTGTGTAATGACCCAAACCCGGGGGTCTGGATCATTATTTGGGTCCTTACCTGAACTCGAGGTCATCTAAGGGGATTACGGTTATTTCTCATGTTGAAATACAACTAATACATCATACTACACTATGCAGTGCACCATGGCATCATTAAATGAGTAAGGATATAACGACAACTGGTCTGGGCTGCGTCAGTCGGCTGATAGTGTTGGTCCCAAAGCAACAAATTTGAGAACCCAACTCTCTGTCTACAACCAAAATGCACTGTCGGTCGGCTGGCTTATATCACCAGTCAGCGCCCTGGGAGCTGCAGAAATGACTTGTTTTGGTACCTAAGTCCTTGGATGCAACCGGGGCTCCCCCGTGAGCTTAAGTATGATATGACCTGTCCCAACAACATTCACAAAACCCATATACAACTATAGTGAAATGATCATACTTCATGTTTTGTTTGTTTTTCTAGTTATGCATGTGGATGTTTTTGGGCCGTGATTGGCATGACTTGTGAGTGCACTTCTTGTGTGCAGAATTTTATTTTCCTTCTCCTTAATGACATGGTTTTATAATAAAAACAGGTGTGCATCATTTCAGCTCGGATATCTATGCTTTTATACTTGTGTGCTTTAGTATTGTTTTGACAAATTCTTAGGTCCAAGTTTGGGGGAAGAAATTTGGCATCTTTTCACGGGATTGGCTACATTGCATGCGTTGCCAGACTCACTTGGTAGTATTGCTCCATTTTATCCCTTATTCTTTTTCTTTTTCTGTCGTTGTCTTCATACATTGAGCATAATGTACCCAATAAGTTTGGGGGTGTTTGTGTGTGATGGTATATATGTGGCATTGTTATAGTTTCTCATTAATTACATATAAAAAAAAATTAAAAAAAAAAAAAACAAGAAGAAGTAAATGATTTATTGTTTTTGAAACTTGTTGTAGGGACGAGTATGTGATTAAAACATCTTGTATGGATGCATTTGATATCAAAGATGATAAAATTTGTTGGTAAGCATGCATAGATGAAGAAGGTTCATTTTATGACTTAGATGTATCATCTTTGACTTTTCATTCTCTAAATAGACTTTACATTGCACATGATCACACCGGAAGCATTTAAATGGAAATAATGTGTTGGGATTTATATGCCCTAGTATAACAAATTCTTATTTGGATTAAAGTGACATATGTTCCTAACATATCTGAAATTTTTATAATTTATACAATTAGTAAATTCAATGTATTATGTTTCGATTCATTATGTAATTGATAGTGTCCACTTGATTACAAGAGATATTTATATATGTATGTGATGGTGATCAATACATAAAAATAAATAGTAATCATCAATAGTTCATAGTCGGTAATTATAGACGGACTCATTATTAATTAAGACTTGAACTGGATTCGCGTTAGGTTGAGATAAATTGCGAGAGCTGTCGCATGCAATTGCTCCCTATCACTGTCATGACATTTGACTCTTAAATATGAGAGAAGTATAAACTCTTTTATTAATTAGTAATTACTTTGATTTGTTCGGTGGAATCTTCGAAATCCACAGATCGTGTAATGTGCCCATTTTTTTTTCATTTTTCAATTTTCTGGAATTTTCTGTTTTGTGAGGGCATTTATGTCTTTTCTTGTTTTACGTGCCAGACACCGTGGGGTGTGTCGGGTGTGTTCGAGAGCTGGTTAAGGTTCATTAGGTTCAGGATTCTTTAAAATGCAAGGGTTGCCATTTCGGCCTTTTTTTCATTTTTCGAGCCGGACGGTCCCATGTGGGACCCGCTACCGGAATTGTTGTGTACGGGAGTTGTGTTTTGGATCCATGGTATTTTATGCATAATTATTTTGTGCATAAATTGATTATTTAAATGTGGATGTAACATAGTTTGTATATATATAAGTTTGTGGTGGAAAATTTAAGTTAAAAGATTTTTATTTATTTATTTATTTAGTGTATGGGCCCCACATGGCACTAAGGCCATTTGTATCACCACATATTACCTTCTCATTCATTTTTTCTTCTCCAGAATCGTGGATTTTTTTTTTTATTTTTTTTATTTTTTACAAAGCTTTTAAGGTTTGATTTCTCTCCAACTAATTGGAGTTTTTGGGTGTTGTTTGCGGCAAAATGAAGAGTACGACAAGGTCTACACATAGATACCAGCAATTCACACTTTTGGCCACCTTAGGGATTTTGAAAAATTGGACCCATTTTGGGGATTTTCTCATTTTTGGAGGTAGGGGTTCTTAATCCACAAACTTCTTGTACTTTTGTAAATTTCTCTTCATTATTTGTTGTCAAGTATGCTTAATTTGAGTTGATTGCCTCTAAAATGATTTAATTGTTGTACATGAAGTCCATGACTATGTGTAGTAGTTGATTTATATGAAAATCATGCTTAATTGGTAATATTTCATGCCTATTATGTTTAGAAATTGCCAAATTTCTTGATGTGAAAAAATGTTATTTCCTTTGGGATTTCTTGTAAAATTATGTTACGTGATTTGAGCTTAATTTAGATGTATGACAATGGACATTGACATGATATGAAAAAGCATGATGCATTCATGCATAACATTAGGTAAGGAAAATGGGAAATAATTGTTTTGAAAGGAAAAAGGGATTTTTGGGGAAAAGCTTTGATAATGGTTTTGAGAAAACCCAGACGCCGAGGAGGTACTGAGGGTCCGTGGTGTTAATGTAACTTAGAGGGAATTAGGAAGAACACCCTAGCGTGGTTGAGCTATCTGGGCCCCAAATGATGTCGCGGAGTTACTAAGGGTCAGGGACAGTAGCCAATCATCCTCTCGTATCGCCGAGGAGTCATCGAGGGACGAGTTATGTTAACGGTTTGAAAAGTGATGGATGGTTTTGAAAATGGGGAGCGGCATAGCATGACATAGCATTCCATAGCATCATATTATTCATTTTGGACTTGAAATTGATGTTATATTGCCTAGCTATAGCATGATCCCGTTTTCTACATTTCAGTTCATTGTTTGGATTCACAGGGTTTCAAGAGG